CAATGTCGTCGAGGGTATATTTCATGTTAATAAAAAAAAAAAACTTGAAATATTTGAAATCTACCAATTCATATAATGTTATATGATATTGTACCAATTCAAAACATGTTAGCACTTTTTTTTTATATCTCAATAAGTAAAGCCAATAATCTATGTTGTTGTGGCTCATCCAAATAAAAATAAAAATAAATAATTAATGAATATTTATATTTTAGTTTATCGGGGTTATTATTTTCATACCTAGGTATTATATTTACAAGTATGTCATAAATGTTTGTTTTTGTTTTATTTTTTGTTGCAATTCTTCTATATATATTTTTTTAGTATGTATCTGATAAGAAAAAAATGTTGAAAAAGTTGAAAAATGACCTTTTTAAAGTAACTTTAGAAAGATGGTAGTTTCATTTAAAAAGTAAGTAGTTTGATAAAACTTTTAGAAAACTCTAACTAAAAGAAAGAATACAGCCATACAAGTCACATCTTACATATATACAACTTAAATAAAAGAAACTAACCTATTGTTGCAAATCAAATAAATTTATTTTTACACTTGAAATCAAAAACAACTATTAAATTTATTTTCAAATAGTAATACTGCAACAGGTTACAAACTCATGAAATTAAACAGTAGTATAATAACAACTATTAGAAAACATTTAGAAATATTCATAAGCATAATAATAAATATTAATCATACAATCATGTAAATAACTATTTTCAAACATAATTAAAAAACAATTATTTTAAGTTTTGTCATTTTAGTATTTGAATGGAGAACTGAATGCATTGGATTTACAAAAATTACATGGGTATTTTTAATTTAATTTTTTATGTGCTCATCATTACGTTTTTAAGCAGAAAAAATTTAATCTAAAACTTGTATAGTTTTTATACAACTGGATATAGCTCTGGGGAGATCCAAATAGTTTATAAAGAAATTTGTCCTCCGGAGGGATCACCGTAGAGTACAAACCACAGGGCAGATCTGTTTGAAATTTTCAGGATGAATTAATATTATAATTTCACCAGGTTTTAAGAAAGGATTTTTGGAAATGCAACTCCTTAAGGTAAAATYAAGTGGTTGTAATTATACAACAGTGGCTTCATCTATCAAGCAATATCTTATATTATTAATATTATATTTATTTATTTATATTCTTAAATTATTATTATTATTATTATTGATTAGATGTTGTAATTGGCAATATAATATGGGCATAAGATATTATTTATTATTCAGTTATTTTTTTCACTTTCATMTATTAAAAATGTCATCTATTGAAGAAATTACAGTGAATGGAATGTTGACATCTCAAATAGTTGTACCAATTATCGGTGATAGTGCCTACCTTTTCCGTTCAATTTTCTTTCAGTTATATTAGACTCGAAAAAGATGCCAGGAGATCCGAAATACAATTGTTGCGTATGTCTCTGATAATTGGAATACCTTTGTTAATATATCTTACAATTCATGCGGTGACAACTGCTGAGAATTATGTTCGTGATATGGAAAATCCTACTGTCTACGGTGGTTACTGCGAATCGTTTGCAGCTGCCAATATTTTCCCATATGTATTTGAAATGTATTATAATAATAATCTTTATGCCATATTTTTGTAGATACATTCCCAATAAAAAGATTGCGTCTAACTTAACCGAAAATATTAATCGAGGTCATTTTGATATTTATTTATCTATTTCTAATATTCCTAATTTTACAGAAAATGTAAGTTTTACTTCATAGAGCGTTGTCTATTTGTAATAATGTTAGTGTCACAGACAATTTAATTAATTTTAGTAAGAAGCGTTGCCGTGCTAGATGTACAGATAGACCTCGAAGCAACCAATTAAAGGAAGCTAAAAAAAGACGAGAAAACCATTTTTMGGTCTGAAAATCCATTGCGCAAATGGAAAATTATTAAATTAACTGGTCTTGTATATGAAATATGATCCTACAATTGATTTTAAAAATTACATTGGCAATATGAACCAAAATTGTTAATATTGTAACGCTCTCAAATGGAAAGGCAAAACACTGCATGTGCTGCAATTTAGGCAGAACAAAACTAGATATCTTGTTACAGCCACSAGAACCGTTACGMAGTTTACTCATGGGTGACCATCCTGATCACGATCATTAATAAAATCGTACAAGGAAATATAATAGTTGTTTTCAAATGACATCGTTTGGTGTTAAACAAGTTGTTGAAGAAGGTTTTATGCCATTTTTCAAAGTTCAAGGCCAAGTATACCATTTGTATGGGAGTTTGATTCAAMACACTCAGAAAATCCCAACATTTTTACAAATATATTTTGTTGGCGAAGATGAAAAAGAAGTTCAACTTAGATGTTCTCTTTATCCAGAAGTACGAGCATTAGTCAAACAGCTACGAAAATGCTGCATACTGAAAATAAGTATATTCGAGAATTTAAAACCTGCAGTAACCACATTAGAGAATGCAAGTCAACATTCTACTAAAATTCTACTAATATTCTACAAGAACATATTTTATATCAACCTTTCCAAGAGCTTTTTTCTTACACTTTCAGTTAATGCAATAATTGGCATTTWAAAAAATAATAATATRCATATTACATATACTTATATAGATTTTGTAAATTGAATTGATAACATTTGAAAAATAAATTCCCTTCAACAAAATAAAATAAAATTCTATTAAGTACGCCATCATGTCAACCTATATAGGCTTCAAAAATGATGAACACAGACTTTATACGTTTTTGATACCAAGAGATTTAATAACTTAGGCGAATGTATAGTTTTTTACAGATCAAGTGTACTGTACACGGTAATGACAGTACCTATGTTATTATTATACTCTTTGCTTGCGTATAATTATAATCATCTGGATGCGACCGATAGTGGTTAATACGCATATTATTATACGAAGCCATTGAAATGACCAATTCCCGCGTGGTTTTATTTGTCTTGGGAAATCAAAGGATGAATATTAATTTACACAGCTATTGGCGTTGTGTCAGTAAAATAACAAGGCAGTTCATCGGTCAATACCGATAAGCATAGGTCGTATTTTGTATTATAATATGTACRTGTATAGGACATAGSTATAAAGGACGGGCTGTAGTTACGATGCGCGTAAAAAGTAAATAATAATAATTTATAGGCATAATAATATTATACAATAAACACGGTCATCATCACTCATCGTAATCATCGTACTTATTTCGCATTACAAATTTATAATGTTTTAATAATATATTTGGATTGTCGACAATATCTAGGCATCGAAAATCGTGTCTACCTATATCATAAAATGCACACAAGTTCGATGGTCATAATATATTAATTATGATACAWCGTGATTTTTACTTACAATACGGACGAAGCYAACGAAGGTTCTTGATTCTCGCTAATCTGATCCTCCAGAGCGACGCCGTACCTCCCCTTAACGTTTTCTAAGGTCGGCAACATGGCTATTGTCTTTTGCATAGACGAACCCGGCAATATCGGACATCCTTCCCTGAAAACAGCATAAAAATTATACACAAATACAAATATTCAATCTACGAACAGTAATATGGGTGGTAGGGTATCACCAATTTATAATATCTTGCAAATCTATATTAGGCGAAGCACGCACATAAACGTAATTTCGGGCTAGGAAACACCGGGCATTTGAAAGTCACCACCAATCTTTGCCGAAATCAATAACCTGGAAATGGAATAAGAAATCCATATCCAGCAAGTACTTAGGTTAGGTACAAGACTAATATACTGATTATATTAAAAGCACAGAGTGCTTAATATAGTGACGTCAATAAAGACGATAGGGAGAGGGTCTTCATTACTCGCGGCATGTCTAATATAAATAGAAGCCATCTGTACACAGAGCTCCAGAGATAYTTAATTCATCATCTCAGCTTATAGTACTTGTGTGGGCCATGAACTTTATAACAGACGCATCGACGCTTACACGAGTAGGTACATTACCAGTCCGCGATATAGTAAAATACGGTTTGAGTATTCGGTCTTAACAATATTACAAATTTACAAAAACTCGGATCCAATTCTAATTCTTTTTTAAGTTTAAGATAACAATGGTTTTAAATTTTTAAAGTTGTGTTTGAATTTACTTTATRGTTTATTCAAGCCTTTAGCCTATTAATACCAATCACTTTCAAAATCTAAAATAATACKACTTTTAAAAACGACATCCGATCGGCATATTCTTATTTATCATTGATATAATAAGACTTCTGCAGTTAACTTTGTGATAGTGGTATAGGATACCTTACACTATTTTTTATTGAATTTAATTTACTAAGCTTAATAGTATTCAAATTAAATTTTTTCCCTCGTGTTTCCCTTAATTATTTAATCTGAACAAATGTCTTTTAAAATAACAAATGAGTAGTGTGACCAAAAAATTCAAGTTGTGMAAATCGCTCTAGAATCGTGAACAATTTAAAATATGTTAAAAAAATACACAAAATTTGAACCAGTCATCAACCAATAAAAATAACAAATCATTTTAACTTAAACTAATAATAGTTTACCGAGTTTTAATTTGTGTAAATATAAAATTGTGCTTATAAAATATCACCTTATTATACCGGGTGATTMTTTTATCATTGAACATTCATTATTTCAAAAATTATTAATGTTTTTGAAAATATTATTTTACATATGTAGTTTCAAGTTGTTAAGAAACCAAAATTTTTATTAAAAAATTATATTTTTAAATATATTTTATCCTTATATTTTTTACTTTTTTGAATGACAACATAGAGTTTTAATTTCATATTTCAAAGCAGAATATTTTTCTAAGTATTTTGATTCATTAAAATCGAATTTAGGACGAGTAGTTTATGAGTTATAAGTATTTAAAGTTTAGACAATCGGAGTAGTGGACAAACATTTTGCGGGGTAACCCCGTACCACACCACTCTGCCAGTCAAAACTTTAAATACTTATAACTCATAAATCTCTAACTCGTCCTAAATTCGATTTTTATGAATTAAAATACTTAGAAAATATTCTGCTTTAGAATATGAAATTAAAACTCTATGTTGTCATTCAAAAAAGTAAAAAACTTAAAAAATGATAAGGATAAAAAATATTTTTAAATAAATTATTTTAATAAAAACGTTGGTTTTTGAACAACTTGGAACTATATTAAAWAATATTTTCAAAAACATTAGTAATTTTTGAAATAATGAGTGTTCAATGATAAAATAATCACCCGGTATAGTTGTTATATTTGCAAATTATGTTGTCGCCTAGTTAATAAAGATGGTTGCAACGATCAGAGTAAAAAATGTTTAAAATATAAAACATGTGAGATGGGAATGGTAATTTTACAAAAATATAATTAGATATGTACTTGCGAGCGGAGTGATTGGTTTTTTTTTCAAGTTACCCATATGAGCGGGTCAAAACTTTTTTTGAAGATCTTTTATGACTCTAAAACTTAAATGACRCCACCGATTTGTAAATTCCAATGCAATTTTGTTTTATTGATGATAGGTTTTGTCAATTTGCATTACTACTTTAAAACATTTAATTTTTGCACCCCCAACACACTCAATTGTTCAAAAACAAAAATCATTAATCGTAAGATTATTCGTAATCAAAAACCACTGATTAGTAGGAAATAGAAAGACTAAAATACATAGATAATAGATCATAATAATATCATTAAAAATTGTTTAACATACTTATGTGATTTTTATAATTTTTGTGTTTAATTCATTCATATTGTTTTATAAATAGGTACTATGTTTGACTTGTTTTTTATCATTTAAGTCGCGGATGAAGGAATATTTTGAGTTTGAAAAAAATGTAATCAAATCACTTGACACGTATAGGTGTCAGTGAAAATAAAATCCAACCAACATTTTTATTTTACACGTGGGTTAGGATGCTATCTCTGCCCTAGTGTTTTTTCCAAGTACCTAGTACCTATTGGCTATTACCTATATATCTAGGTAATATTATATTGCATATTATATACGAATATTATTTTGCCTTGAGAATGCAGCGGTACCATTTTAATTATTTTCATCATAATATACTTAAGTTATATAACTGTATCTATTAAATTCGTATTAATCATTTTATATAGACTAAATGTATGATAATATGATGATCGTTAGGTTCATAAAAAAACATTTTGATTGTGAAAACTTAAATATATAATATATAGCTTATAATTAATACTCTGACCAGTTTAAAAAATATATAATCAACATAAATTATAATATCAATACCTATATTATTATTATGTATAATAATGTTTTAAGTCATGAACATATTTGAATACTGTGTGCAGTGCTTATAGAATTYACTTAATTTTAGACACTTTTTTAAATGAAAACCTCAAATTATTTGATTATAATATTTGAGTAAATTAGGACATCATTAAACCAACAACAATAATTTAAAACACTCGCACCACGACACGAAGATTATTGGTTATATTGATTCATTAATTGGTTCAGAAAACTTATGATGGTATACATACGTGATACAACATTTATAAGCTCTTCATTAAATATTTCGACTGTATATGTAATGAAAAAACTATTTATTACATGCCAACAGTTCAGAAGTCAATTTTATCATACACTCACACAGCTTTTAGATTTTTTTTTTTGTCTATGCACCTTATTACACACAAATTATAATATTATATATATTTTAAATGGATTGTTATAACTTATAAAATGTTACACACATATTATTATCGTAATAACGGCATTATCACTCCGAAGGTCATTACGCCACATGATTCGTATTTCGTGCAGAGCCCGAGTGCACCATAAGTATACAAAATATTAATCTATTTTATGAATTTTAAATTTTAATCAACTACTGAGAACTGTGAAGTCGATTGTAATATTTGAATCCACCTAAGCTCACTCATTTATTACCTTACTTAATTCATCATATTGTTATAACTTATAAATATGTTTATTTTTTTTTTTATTTAAGGTTTACAGGCTTCAACTACAAAGGTTATTAGCCAACATTTAAGTTTAAGTTTAACAAGACAAAAAAGAAAAAAAAAAGGAAAAGTAAATTACAATATTGAAAATTACAATATTTGTTTAAATAGATTTACAATTTGATTTATATTGAAAACTATATTTTATTGATAAGGTTGTCTTTGGTGATGAATTCGATAGTTTTTAAAGTGTGTTCTTCATTTAGAGCTTAAATATGTTTATTATTTATAATAATATAAGCACTTAAGATTTAAGTTCAGAGACAATCCTAGTACTTAATATAACTATACACATTTTAATATCATGTACACAAATAACAATAATACTATTAATACTAACTATTATATACCAATCATAATTTTATATAGATATAGGTACCTATTATATATAAGATGATATATATATATATTGTTATTATGGATCCGTTCGGCATATTCTTTTGAATAATTATTCGTATGTGCTATATCATAGATATAAGCTCCAGAGAGGGAAACAAATTGAACTTCGAAGAACGATCGAAAGCTTAAAACAATTTATAATACAATAAATCAATAACCCCATAAACGCCTGTATAATACGGAAGTTTCGGTTCTAATAAATATTAGGTAAATGGTTAGGCACCAATAGGATATCTACTACCATGTTTTTATTTCTATAATGTTGTACTGCACGCTCGTGCATCTGTGAAAATGTGTGTTTTTTTTGCCATACGTGTACAATACTATATTATCGCCGGAAGAGTTTATGCCGTCACTTCCCGCTTCCCACCCACCGACACAGTCCATGTTGACTGGCAGCACRCGCCCAGGCACCGAATCRCACACGCATTATTGTCAGAATCATATGGTTTCAATTCGAAAACGTATCGCCATCCGCAAATAATGTATAAAATAATAATGAACAGCTAGATCCAGATGAATGCCCAAGTTATACAGGACGATTCTTTTGACAGTAAACACAATCATAGCAACTCGGAAAGTTTTATCGTTTCTGCAGAATGTATTAATTTTTTCATTGGTAAAATGTCTGTCATAAAAATGAAAATAAATTTTAATCACTTGACATCGTTAGTGTCATTCATTTTTTTTTTTTTTACATTTTTGGGTAACATACATTTTTATTTTTATTATACTCCAAAACGGAATATTTTTAAAGGATTTTGATGTGTATAAAAAAATCAAATTTCAAAAGAAAAGTCAATACGTATCAAATATTTAAGTTCCAAAGAATAGTGTAGATGATCAGCACAATATAGGAAAGTGCCTCTGTGCCACTCCACTCATCCACTCACCGAAACATTAAATAGGTGCTATTTAACTACTTGTTTCAAATTCGACTTATAGATTCTGAGGTTYGATTCTGGAGCGATAAATGATGTATATTGTTTTATAATGATGTGAATTTTTTGTGCGTGTCAGCAYTTCTTCGAGCAATAATAATGCTACAATCTTCAACTTTAAGAGTGGTTTCTGGTAGAAAATTGGATCTAATTGGTACGATTATAGGGGTCAAT